CCTCCACTTGGACTGCTTCCACCTCCACTTGGACTACTTCCACCTCCACTTGGACTACTTCCACCTCCACTTGGACTACTTCCACCTCCACTTCCGCCTCCACTTGGACTACTTCCACCTCCACTTGTACTACTTCCGCCTCCACTTCCTCCTCCATTTGAACTACTTCCGCCTCCACTTGGACTACTTCCGCCTCCATTCCCACCACCGCTTGGATTATTTCCGCCCGTCATCTGAGGATTACCACTAGGGTTTCCGCCCTGCTGGCCCATGGGATTTCCTCCTGGGCCGTTTGGGTTAAACTGAAAACTGCCCATCATTTTCGAAGGGTCGAAGAAACTGCCGGAACTACTCCCCCCGCTCCCTCCGCTCCCTCCGCTCCCTCCGCTTCCTCCGCTCCCTCCGTTTTGGCCACTCTGTCCAGTCTTGGGGGAAAGCTGACCAAACATCTGACCTGAGATTGTACAGAAGAGGATGTGGTGGCCACAAGGAATGGGGGGATGGGTGGAGGAGGGGGAGGGGCGGGGTGGGGAGGGTTTGGTTTTGATAAGGGTATTACGGCACTTGAAACACAAATAGGTCAAAGAAGTGCCGAAGATCAAGCGATGTTACTAGAAAATAACAAACAAAGAGAAAAAAGAAGAGATATCAGCACAAAAAAATAGATGATATATCGCATTTACTTAATCCATCATATTACATGTATTATCACATTGATACAAATTGCCGTCAACATGCTATATGTCTTGCTGGTCACTACTGTGAATTGTTATTGTGTGTGGTCCAAGGACACTCCCCAGTGACCACCCACACAACGTCGTTCCAGCAACTGATACTACTCAATGAAACAACTTCCTCATTCTAGATTTAAACTCACGTTGTTTGAGTGCTACATCAAAGAACAACCATAGAACATTAGTGTCAAACACTGCCATTTACGGCTTTCTTTGGGATCAGTTATACTGGAACGGGATTACCTCGCGATTTAGCCATACCTAGAATAAAACATGAGTTAATTGCTATTGGTGTGAAATGTGAACTGGTATAGGTTTCAGGAATGCCCCTTGCAACACTGTTACCTCCAAATTAAATGTCCTTCTCCATAAGAACCGAGTTAAATAGGAAATTCGTGTAATGTGCCTTTCCCAAGAACTCAACGGCTGACCGAGCAGAGGCTCGAACCTCCGAACACGCAATGTCACGATTACGGATCCGCTAGTGTAAGAAAGCAGAATTAGAGAAAAGGGTTCAGACACAGAGATGTGATGTTACCGCAGACTACTTGACATCTTATACAAAGACCACCTTTCAAATGCTGAGGAACAGAATCACCCAACACAGTGGGGCAGCATGAAGATCTACTGACCACAGTGAAGAGACGAACATTAAAATGGTATGGGCATGTCACAAGATTCACAGGACTTGCCAAAACAATCCTACAAGGAACCATACACGAGAGAGAAAAAAAGGTGAAAATAAAAAATGGTGAAATGGTATGAGTTGAACGCCCCTATCAACAGAAAAAGAGGAAGACAGAGAAGGAGATGGGAGGACAACATTACAGAGTGGACAGGAAAAACGATGGGTGACAATCTGAGGAAAGCAGAAGACAAAGAGAAATAGCGAGAGCTGGTTTTCAGATGCAGTGGTGCCCCCACAGTTGCCTCAACTACGGGATAAAAGAAGAAGAAAAAGAAGAAGAAGTGTAAGAGAAATCGCAGCAGCGACTATGGTGGACCTATCTATGCAAGGCCTCGCGGCGTTCTGACGAATGGAAGATATCACTCGCTTGACTTTTTAGCCCAGCGAAAGTGTGATGTGTAGTGGAGTGACATCGGACGAGGCAATACGGCGTCGTTGAAGACCATCGGAAAACTGGCAGAATTTTAACATACGTGAACGCACATCTTAGAGCGTTTAGATTATTATTTTATTTTAAATCAGAGTAACCCTTTTAGAATCCCAACAATGCAAATTAAAGTATTCTTTTCGGAAAAAAAGTTTACATAGCCATTCTTTGAAAGAAAGAAACTACAAAATAAAAAGAGAAAAGTCGACTGGAGGTCGAGAACCTTCTTTTTGTGGTGACGTGAGAATGTGCCTGCTTCATAAAACTGATAATTCAGAAGTAAATTCTGGATTTGAATAGATTATCCCTCTTTATCCATTGTTCTTGAAGATCATCACTGTTCCAATAACTGATAGAAAGTGTTTTGCTTCATTTTAAAATGATTTTCAAATCTTTCTAGGTCCTCTTGTAGCACTAAATGGTGATATTCACCGTAGGTTACTCTTTGTAAATAAACTGGGTGCACAGTGCACAGAATTGCTTCTAAAATCTATCTCTACTCTTTTGCCACCACCAATAACAACAAAACAATGATCTGTCCTCTAGAGAGCGCCATCACTATCATGTCTATCAAACGCACCACAGCCGCACTATGATCACTTTTTGCGGCGTGACGTCATGGGGAAATGTGCACCGCAATGCGCACCGTCTGGCCTTAAGAGGGCGTTACACGTTCAGTTAAATCTGATAGTCAACGTCCTCTCCGCACATCCCAACGACTGGACGCGCAGAATTAGACCGTGTCTGATGTTTGTTGCAGCCGGTCGGAGGGACTATCTGCTACGCCCGAGACCCAACAACAATAACAGTTGATATAGTGTAAAATCGTGAGTGCAGACACAGTTGGTCCATTTTAGCAAGTAAAGTTGTTAGGACTAACAGTCTGATTTATTGCTAGTGCACCGGCGCCTGTGGTGAAGCTGTAAGACGATTCGCCGCTGCGCACAGAAAACTCGTTCGACTCCAGTGTGGTGAGATTCTTTTATAGAGTACCACGGTCTTTCTGTTGGGACGTCGGCAGGAAGGGTTGAACCCCATCTCTTACACGATCTAAATTATGTCGCTTGGGGCGGGGGGGGCGTAAAAACATCACCATTTGAAATATTAAAAACCAACAAAACAGCGCTGGCATGTTTAGTCTTGTTAATTCTCAGTATTGAAAGTTGAACTCTTCATAGTGGGTTACTGTTATCCTTAAAACAGGACAGAGATGTAGGTGCCTTGCGTCCCCGTTCCCACGGTGGTTAGATCATTCAGTTAGGTTGTTGTGGACCTCGGCCGTGCCTGTCAGGGTCATCCCGGGCTGACAAGGATACAGCCTCCAGGCAGAAACACCATAACATAATGTCTTTAAAAAATCTTCCCCACACAGAAATCGACCTCAGGTCTTTTGCATGCGACGATGAAGCGCCTAACCACGACCTTTCTGACTCAAGTGTATAATCCACAAGCGCTGCCAGTTTAGTTTTTTAGTTCTTTATTACTTACCTTTTTGTTCCTGTGTCACAATTTTTTTTATTATTATTATT